CCCAGAGGCTCTCTGGGATGGGCATGGGCTGCGGCGGGATGTGCCTCCGGAGCAGCGCTGGGACCCTGGCAGGGACCTCTGGCTGCAGCTCTTATCCCCGCTGTGATTTATAACCTCTCCTTGAATGGAAACTCTCCTGGCTGCTCCCCAAACCCCCCGGTCCCAGCTGGGAACAGGCTGACACAACCCGCACGCGCTCCCGGCCGCAGCCCCGGCTCCGACCCCCGCCAGCCCCAGCCTTTTGTGCTCGCTCGGCCGGGTTTTCGCGATGGTGAAAACACAGAAGCTTCTGTGCTGGGGAAAAGCGGGACTGAGGGTCACCCCACGACGGAGAGGGCCCCACAGCACGCTGGAGACTGATGCCACTTTATTGGTAACTCTTGGAGAGCCGGACCCTGGAGAACTTGGCTCTGCTCAGAGGAGGTTTGTACACAACAGCAATAGGAAAGAACAACAACAAATGCCTGTTGCAGCTTTGCATCTCAGCGCAGCCTCAACAACAAATGTTTGCAACACTGGGTCTGGTGCGCCCCGTGGGGCGGAAGGCATGGGGAGAGAAGTGAAACCTGCTGAGAGCTTGAGGGTCACAAACATCCGTGAAAGGAGCCTTGTGTCCTCCTGGTTTAACTGGCGGGGAAGGGGAGATGCTGGGAGTGCGGCGGAGATGCAGTTTAGGGGAAACCCCACAGCTGAAATGCAACAAGCTGGGGTTCAACACCCCCATGCAGCAATTGTTCAAGTCTTACAAATTCAAACTTGTTTCTTTCGATTTAAATAACAAGTGCTTCAGGTACAACGCTTGAATTGCCTGGTTTATAACCCAGTTCAAGTGCACACAGGCAGGAATAGTTTTTTTTAAAAAAACTATGTATTTTTGCACACTCATACACACACATGCACACAGTGAATTTTGTGCTGCAGCTATTTCAACTAGAGATGTGGCAATGGGCCTGAAGTGGCTGTCGTAAGCCAGGCTCCAGGAGCTGGCTGGCTGTAGCACCACTCACCCTAAAGCTGCTGAAGATTCTCATTATTTTTGCAAATATTGCTCCCCAAAAGCCTCCCCACACGGGGCATCTGCTTGCTGCTCAGACTGCTCTAGAAAACACCGCTTGCAGGCAACCGAAGCCCACAGCATTTTTTGTGGAGGACTTCTCTCTCTCGGTCCGTGTTGAGAGCTCAGGGGTCTCCTGAAAAGGCGTGTACGGCCTCCCGCTCCCCTCTGGTGTGAAATGCCTGGCGGAGCGGAGGACACCGACAAACTCAGACCCAAACAGCCGTATTGATGTCAAACCCGGACTGGGTGTAGTCTATGGTATCGTGGACTTTCTTGGTGCCAATTTTGGGTTTCTCGCTATTGCCTTCCGCCTTTGGGCACTTCTCTGCTTTGCTGTGATGGTTCTGGATGTTCCCATGAAGTGGGAAGTAAAATGTCCCCTTTAGTTTGTTCATCTTTTTGGATCTCTTAGAAATTTCAGGCTGTTTGTCTTCAGGTGGAAGCCAGCAAGGTTTCTCCTTGAGAAGCCTGTCTCGGTCTGGCCGAACGCTCCTCAGGAACTTCTTGAAGATGTTTGCTGTGAGGGAGAACTTCCTGCAGAGCTCCTGGGATCTGCTGATGGACAGGGACGCCTCGCTCTTCTCCCCCTTCTTATCTAGCTCTGGCAGATCCAACCAGTTCCCAACCAAGTCTGCAAAGATGTTATCCCCCAAGACCAGTGGCTGCCGATTCCTGCTCTGGGACATTAGGGAGGATGTCCAGTCATGGCCATCGTCACACCCTGGGCACTCCCGGCATGCTGGCCACCCCTGAGCCATGCCCTGGCTACTGGGCTCAAATGTCCTTGGGCGGACATGCTCTGCTCTGATTGACGTGGAGGAAGGCCCTTTTGGGTGACAAACATCCTCACCACAGAGGCTCCTGAAGGAGGAGGGGGTGTCTCTAAGGTGGCCACCTTCTGGGATTGCAGTGGGACGGGACAAACCCACCAGCCGTGGCACGGCACACGCGCGGGGCATGGGGCCGTGCTCCTCCACCGATGCCTCCCCTTCCTGCCGGGCCCTGGGCACATCTCTGCTGCTTCGGCGGCACTGGCGCTGCTCAGTGCCAGAAACGGTGCTTCGGCTCCCTGAGATGTCCAACTGCTCCAAAGCTGTCTGGACCTGGAGGAGTTTCAGCTCCTGCAGTGCACCCATCATGCAGTTCATCTGCTCGTGCAGCCCGTCTCCGACCTCCTTCATGGATAGCTGCGGAGGGAAGGAAGCGGACATTGAGTCAGTGTCGCCAGGAGTGAGCAAGAAAATTTTGACTGAAGGGCAGGACAGCGGGGCTGAGCAGCTTTCTGAAACATCACCTCTTCCTACTGACTACATCTTAGATACATCCTACCTGTAGTACATCCATTTCATGGAAGAGCAATTGGGTATTTCTTAGGTTTTCTAGGAGTTTCCCTGTAGGAATAAGAGGAGCTGACAGGAGGAGTGGATTTTTTTGACCTGACAACAAAAATAAATAGCTTGAGTTTCCATTAATTGCTTGGCAGAAACCCAAGGTGTGGAACTATGAATGGTGTTGGCTGTTGCCAGTTATAGCTTATTCTTCTGCTTTTGTGTATTTTGTGCCCTGTCACTGACTGAAATCAGGCGTCAGAATAATGAACAGAAGTGCCTTCCATGGAGAACCTTGTTTCTTTGCCTAAAGTGCTAAAGTAAATTAAAAATAAGCCCCAGTAAGAATCGCATTGTTGCTATGTAACATGTGTTCAGAGCTTAATACCCTCATTACCGGCACCTCTCACTAGAGGACAATCAAAGACATTTCAAAGGACTTGAAATTTTGTAGAAAATGACCAACAAACTCTAAAATTACTTACATTAAACTAGCAATCTCTGATTCCCAAGCTAGAACCTTTAGTAGCAGGTCTGCTTTATCCCTGAACCTTACTATAAAGACTTAACTTTCTATACTAGACTTAAAATAAGCAAGTTATTTTCCAGAGCCTCTAAATTCCCTCCTCTTCTCTTTCACTCTGTTGCCTTCTCCCCCTCATGTAGGATCTGGATCGTATTCCCAAGGCGGCACCATAAAACAAAGGGGCTATACTTGCCAACAGCTGCCACTGTGGCTTTTAGCGGGGGGGAGCGGGGCATGGGAAGGCGAGGGGAAGAGCAGCAGGGGACGGCAGGGCTGGAGGTGAAGACATGCACGATGTAAGGTGGTTTGCAGAAGAGATTACCACTGTCTAGGAAAAGCTTCAGCCTATGCTGTCATAAACAGTTTAACTAAAAGGCTCGTCACAATTTTTGTACAGCAATAGATCTCAAGCCTAGGCTGAAAAAGGACAGATGCATCTTATGTTCAGCTTTATATTACCAAGCTTTACTTTTTTACATCCCCTTCATTTGAACTAAGTCAGTTCAATTACTTGCTCTATTGCCAAAAAAAAATTGGGTCCTCTGTAACAATCTAGCTCTTCCAGACTGGAAAGCTCCTCAACAGTTTCTGACTATGAATCTTCATTTCAAAACCCAGAACCTAAAACTAGCTGGCTGTTTACGATGATTTTTCAGAGCTTGACTCCCAAGAAACTTATTTATCACCCGGAATGTGCACACAAGCTATGGAGATACAGAAAATCTGTGTTTAGCTTCCTGACTACACTATCAAGCACATCAGCAAATAAACCTCTACTTCTGCAGACATGCAAATAATGCCCCACTTAGAGACTAACCGAGCTCTTGGGCTACCGGTACAAAAGCTGGGGCCATATGCTCTACAAGCCTCAGACAAAACTATCACCTTACCTCTCCAGATTTGCTGTAATGCTTCTCGTCCTAACCTTTCTCGCCTTATTAATGGAAGTCTGTTTTATCTGGGGCTTTGCAAAAAGCTGGATTTGGAGCCAGCTCGGTCGCTCATTGGCCACTTCCCACCAAATCCCCTGGCCGGCGCAGCGCTGTAATCGCGGCACGGTGAGTGACGAGGGTCCTGCGGTAACGACTGGGCTGATCAAACCCTCGGCATATGCTGGATGGCTCCGCTGTTCACCTCATTGATTCAATTAACTCCCCCATGATGGGTGGGATCATGACGATGCACGCCTCAGCCAGCAAGGCTCTATTTAAGGCCATCTATCAAGGCATTAAAATTTCATAGGCAGCATTTATCGTCAGTGAGGTCATTTCTCACAGGCAGATCCTGTCTCCCCTGGACAAGACAAGACCCGAGCGCCGAAAGCTCAGCCTCCAGCACTTCTCCTTCTGAACAAACGAGCTGGTTCTGCCAAACCTGGCACCAGCACCAGTCTGGGGAGCCCCAGCTACTGGAGGAGGAGTGGAAATGTTTTCACCTGTGGAAACATCTTCCCATAAATGGCTACGAGGTTTGGACGCTTCTCTCCTGATGCCCAGCGCTGCCTGCGCCGAGGGCTGGCCTGAGCCGTAGAGGGGGGAGAAACGGGCGCTTTTGGGATGTGACTTGTTCGGTTTCAGCAACCTGCTTCAGGTTGGACAAATCCTGCCCTCTGGACTTGGCCTCGGCATCCCTGCGGCAACCTGAATCCCACCATCAGCACAAGGGTTTTAAAGGCTTTTTTAGAGGCTTTTAACTCTGCTTACAAACACTGTTAAAACTTTGGGTTGTGCAAGTTAAAAACCAAAGCAAACCCCCTGCTTTATCTTTCGTTCTTCATGGTACCTGTTCGGTCTTTTACAGAACTGAAGAGTGAGTGAAACCCAGCCCAAAGTGAGGTCGCTGCCTGGTGACCAAACAGTCTGCCGGGGCTTGGATTTCATCCACTAGTAATTAACCTGTGGTAATTAAGAGTACTCATCTTGGAAGGAAAACTCTGGAGGGAAAAAAAAAGTTTCTTCCAGTGCCTAACAGCCACTCTCTCCTCTTTGCCAAGAAGATCTCAGTTCGCCCAAGTTCAGACTGGCTTCTCTGAGATTCTCCAGAAAAGGAACAATCTCCCACAGAAGAGAGACCACCACGCTGGCAACGGTTCAAGGCTGCACTATCTGGGCTGCTAGAGGAAAAAAGCTTTCTGTGAATAATCCAGCAGAGTGGCCGGGAAGTCAAACAGATGCTGTGACTGCAAGGTGATGGGAACTCAAGGCTGAAGGGACAACCCTTGTGGCCTCACTGGCTCTGTGGTCACACGCTTCATGTAGAAGGAACTGGAATTTGTGAAGAACTAAAGTGCAATTTCAGACAGAGCGTGAATGTGACAGAAAACCCCAGAGAGCCTTAATTTGGCACGGAGAGAGACCCTGCCCGTACTGGCTGGGCTTATGCAAGTGACATTACGTAAGATGGCCACCACGGGACATCAGGAGATGTTCTGTCTTGTGCACGTTTGTGAGCTGTAAATCCCAAACCTGTTGTTGAACCAGCCCGCACTCAGGCGAGCTGCAGAGCGGAGTGCAGCGCAAACAGCAGTCACTACAAAACTTCAGGTCTAGCATGGATCTTGCTGTCAGCATCCTCCCTTCTTGCACCTGCTGGTCTCTGCTCAAGGTGCACAACCATGTCAGCATTTCAAGGGACTCTGGGTGCCTAATTTGAGGTACTTTGTGCTTCAATACAAGTGGTTGTTTAGCACCTCTGCTTCCAAGAAAAGCCGAATTAGAACTATGACAACTTGCAGATGTTCAAATTTATCTCTAAAATGGTTAAAAATCAGATGCCCCAAATTGCACCTTGTTGTTATTCCCAAAACTTTTGCAGTCCCTAGAAACTGGCATGAAAAAGTTTTAGTCTAATTCTGAACATGCCAACATAGGTGCCTTTCAGAGCAAGACAAGTACATGCAGGGCTGAGCACAGTTGTGACGCGTGTTCCGCTTCAGTGTCTGGGATTCAGTGTGTGATGTTAAACCTTTCTTCTCCAGAAGTAAGGTATTACCTCCAGATCAATCCTCCTCTGAAGGCATGAACAAGGCAGCTCTGGCTAAACGCCTCTCCAAAGCAAAGCTTGCATAAAATACAGTTGCCCTCAACATTGAAAACTGAAGTGCAAAATTCAAAAGCTTTTCAAGAACTTTCAAATGATCATCAAGGAATATTCAATGTGCGGGGGGCGGAAAAAACCACCAACAGTGAGCATCTTGCAAAACTGGCCGAGTTCAAAAAACATTGAAAACCTACCATTTTCAGTGGCAAAGGCATCACTTTGTAAGCCATGCCTTTTTAATGATTTCTTCAAAATGCTTCTTCCCAGAACTACAACCACAATTGGTTTACACAGTTTATAAATCAATGATCTTCCATCACTGATTAACACAGCAGGAGGACAACTTGCCCCAAGGAACATCCTCTAGCTGTTACTGGTATTTTATCAAATGCAAAACCAAATACCTGCAACATAGAAATAAGGGAAATTTCACTTGTCACTTCCCAGGTAAATAAGTAACTTTTTTAACCCACTTTGGGAACTAATGTTTTCCCATTAGCATCTACGTTCACCGAATTCTCAGACTTCGGTTCCCATCAATGCCCTCGAGCCACAGCTGTCTCTATTCCCAGCCCATCCGCACATCTGGTCTGCCTGGGACTGCAGCAGCTTTGTGATGCTGACAGGAGAGAAGGACAAACCCAGCTAACACACCACGGCTTTCAGCTGAGCACAGAGAAGTGAAAAGAAGAGCTCTGAGCGTGTTTGTCATAATGAGGAGGAAGACAGATGTCCAGCTGTTAGGTAGAAGAAACGCAAAGAGAGGAAGTTATTGCTAAGAGGACAGGAAAGAACAAATGGCAAATAGCAGTTCTTAATAATAGTGCTGATAGGCAACAGAACCAGCAACAAACAATTGGTATTTAAAGAGGATGACATAACAGAGACCAAAATTATTTTAGAACTGCTGAGCTGACCATATTGTTTCTGTGTTTTCCTTTGGGTCACTAACTAGATTAATCTTCAACCAGCCTGCAATTGTGGCTGGGCATAACTCTTTGGAGCGTGCTGCAGGGCTCAGAGCGCGCTGCTTTCCAGCCTGATGTTGCACCTTTCTTTTCCTTCCCTTGATGGATGCCAAGGGCCTGCAATCTTCTTTTTGTCTTTGCATTTTAGCACAAGAATTTGAAGTCTCTTTTTTACCTTTTGTCTTTCCAGAATATTTTAGGCATAAATGAGGATGTTAACTGTGAGCTCACAATTTATATCAAAGAGGAGGGATGCTGAAATTTTACCAAAGATTTTTTTTTTGCCCAATAGTGTGAATAGATCTTAAACAGATGTTAACCGCAAA